AGTCTCCTGATGATAGAGTATATCATATTTCTACTCTTTTAATTTTCGAAATTTATCGATGAAAAAAACTTCATCCTTATAAACATTTTGAACAAACAACTGTGATGCAAAAGCAATATTATTTCTAGATTTTTTTACTAAACTGTATATCAGTATATCAGACAAAGTATTAGTACAAGGAGGCATTTTTGTTTAGATTTAATGAGCGTTATTGCCTTTACATGTTCCATTTTCTTTTGAACTTAATCTAATATAATGCGTAAAGGCAACAGAGATACCGTACCCATGGTTTCTTTGTACTTGAACAGTGCATCATCTGTTGTAAGAATTAAGTGTATAATTGATTCATGTCTTGTTGTTTTCATTATTCGTAAATATAGATCTTGTTGGTCTGTCTGTAGTTACCGAAAAAATCACTGTGTGTGAAGTAATATCATTATCATTAGCATGAAATGAGGTATTTTCTGAGCTTTTATGGATATGAAACTTAGAGACAATAAAAAGTAAGCTTGTCAATCCAATATTTCATCATACTAGTATTCTTAGATTCAAATGTCTTTTTGGTATCGATGTAGGGTTTAGTTGGATTATGGATGTTACTGTAACTGTTAGGTTGCGTTAGATAAAGTAAATATCAGTGAGAAATATAAGATGAATACAAATGGACATTGGTCTTCTCTGTGTTCTTGTGCACACCCGCATTCTTGCCTAAAACTGTAGGATAAAAATGGTGGTGCTATTCACTTATGTTGATGGAGGAAAGGTTATAAATTTATTCATAAGAATATGTGATTCATAAACTAAAAGTGAGCATGTTTTTTGTCGACGAATTCTTCAGAACTTTTCTAAGTTTTCTTTCAGAAAAGGGTCACCGAATCCGTATGATGCGTGTTAACTTTTTTCAATATTAGATGCCATATTAGTCAATATGATGCGTCATTAAATGTTAACGATAGAAAGAAATTTTTCAAAAAGCAAAATAGAAGTATCGTTTAGCAACTGACTTTTATTCTATATTAAAATCAAATAAATAATATATACGCATTAACCCTTTCGCTAGGGGTTTAATTTTTCAAAACATAGGTCTGCCAAATATGGTTCAAATGCTGAAATACATATTTATTTAGTATCAAAAGTTTTGTAAAGTATGAAAATCTTTGAAACAATCAATTAGACATAAGCCAACATCGCAGTCTGGGCATTCATAGCGCGTAAACACATCTTTCCATCTCCGACGTCTCACAGTATTATTGCAGACTACACATTTTCTCCTGGGTGCCGCTTGAGTGTTTGTAGCTGGAATTGGCAAAATAAAGTGCCTTGCAGTTAGCCGTAGTGGTACAATTGTCGATGACGGTCGACCCCTCGTTACTGCTCGTTGACTACCATACTTTTGAATAATATATCGAATTATTTGCAGGCGAAAATCAACTAATTGCATAGCATGATTTTCTTTCAGTTTCGACAATAGATATGCGTTAAGCACTGTAATATCTAGTAAGTAGAAGAAGAATTTTTTCTACCATTTGATAGATTTTCTAATTGATTCTAAGAAGCTCATCTGCATAGCCGATTTATCGACAGCTCTACTATTCTTGTTGTAATCAACAATGCAAATTGGTTTCATAGATTGTTCCCTTGTTCTCGAGTACGTATTTCCACCAGAGACCATGTCAGTCGTATGTATTGTCGATAACATGTAGACCATTCGTTTGCTGTACTATTTCAAAGCCAACAGATGTTCGGTATGTTTGAATACTTGCCGTCCTCGCTCGAGCACCTCGTTGAACCTTGGAAATCCGATCCGGTTTTGACGCACAGTTCCACATGCTTCAGTCTTTCTCTTGTGGAGTTCTTCAAACAGTCGAGGACTTGAATACCAATTGTCAACGTATAGATTGTGACCTTTGTCTAAATAATTGCTCATCAAAGACATAACTATGGATCCTGACACACCGAGCTCCTCCTTGTATGCATATTCTGTTGTGTTGCCTGTGTAAACAATGAAGTCAAGTACAAAACCTGTAAGACAATCGCATAGAATGTGAGCCTTTATTCCGAAACGACTTCTTTTTCGTGGGATATACTGCTTAAATGGGAGTCGACCTTTCCAGAGCATAAGATGTTCGTCAATCACTAAGTTTTGATATGGAACGAGCGTTGTTTTGTATTTACCCCTGAGGTAGTCAACGATAGGCCGTATTTTGAAAAGTCTATGGCTTGGTTGTTGCTGTTGTTGATTATTGTTGAAATGAAGATATCGCATGAGGTACAAATATCTATCTCGGCTAAACAGCTGTGAAAAGATTGGGGTCGATATCAGAGGATCGGTGGACCAGTAATCCAAAATTCGATTCTTTTTTGTGTGAGCCATCAGCATTGTCGTAGCCAAGAACACATAAATTTCGTTTATATCTGTGGGTTCCCATGCTGGAATATGACCAGAAGACGGCATACCTTCGGATTGTCTTTGATATCTATTTGTTTCATTTACGATAATATTCAAAAGCATCTCCCAAAAAAAGAGCTCGAAGTAACCTAATGGATTGTCCAGCGGCTCCCCTGAATAACCTGAGTTACTGGCATGAAAATTGAACAGTCGAGGTTTGAAAGCAGTATTAGATCAGATGAACTCATATGTCCGTTTCTTCTGGAGTAGACGCTGTTCTTCTTCTGATGAAGTTTCAGATTCGTTCAGGTCACTCGATCGCTCATCTTCAGAACTATTCGATGAGGTATCACTAACAATTTCCGAATTAGCGCTTTCGTCACCATCAGAGTCAGAATCGGTTACAATGTTCGATGCTCGATAGGACAAAATCCTGTTTCGGGAAGCCATTTTACTTTCAATCACACGTGTTCACTGAGATGGCATTTTGACGTTTCGTCGCTACTTGTCGTTCCGAACATCCAATGTCGTAGTCCGTTTCGAACATCCGTTTTTCTTCAAAAAATCAGCACTTTAAAGATAAAAATATCGGATGTTCGTAATAAGAAAAATACGGGTGTTCGGAACGATTGTCGGAAAAAAACGGATGTTCGTAAAAATTTTTAACGGATTTTCCGAATATCCGTTGTAGGACTAATATGTCAATTCCGAACATCTGGTGTCACAGATGGATGTTCGGAATGATCGCGACGAAACATCTGGAGGCCCACTGAGATTCTCTAACGAAAGTATGGATGCAAAGCAGAAGCTGGAAGAATTAATGTAGCGAAATGAAATTCGGAGTAAATAATTTGCCTCACTATATATAGTATGAAAATCGAAACATCTAGAAGATGACGTAAAAATATAGAACGTGACTCATGGAAAGAGAAAAAATATCAGATAGGTCTGGAACATGCGCGAATGATTGAAAAGAATAGTCATATCATTTCTTCATCGCACAATTATACGATTACCAAGTTGTGTCGAAGCTGACAACGATAATACAAAACTAGAAAGACTATAAACTACGTAGTTATCTATACATATATCAAAGATACTAATCAGGTATCATATATGATACTCCCGTAACCAAAGGGTTAATGTTTCAAAATTTCCAAAAAACTATCAGAATAGTAGTTCTTGTAAAACAAAAACAAGTCAGTTTTATTGAAATTTTCTTGTTATTTGACAAAGAAATGATTTTGTCAAATAAAAGAGATCAATAAACTTTGCATAATTATTAAACAACAAGAATGGCGTTGAGTAATATCTGGTTTATATATTAGATTATAAAGAACGGTACAAATTCAAAACAATATATGATTGGTAGGCCAGGATAAATAAGTATGTTTGATTCCTTCAATAATTTCGTCAGTTTTGCTTCGATCGAACCAAAACTTTGGTTTTTTTTTATTAGAATTGCCGTTCTATGCTCGTCTAAAACTGTCAACTTTCAAAAGCAAAAACCATTTGTTCGAGTTTGAAAACTTCCACGGCAATATATAAAAAATATTGAGTCATCCATTTTTTTTAGTTTTTCGAAAAAGACTGGTTTTAGTTCAAGTTTTTGTTCGTTTGACGAAAGTGCTCGTAATTTCGCAAAAAATGTTCTGTTTTTCAAAACTTTCTTTTTTTTTTCATTACAAAGCCAAGAGTCTTTAATATCTCGTGGTATGCCTCTGAAGTACTAGCATCTTGTATGTAGCCTCATGTCACAGAAGAACATGAATAGTGTCATTTAATGGTACTTTAAAAAACACTAGTTTTATTCTGGCAATTGTTAATCAAAGAGCAGTTTTTTTGTAGTGTGTCAGAAAGAGCGGAACTCAAAATACTGAAATATGAGTAGAGTGTAAAAGAGGACATCGTTTTAGCTGTCCAAAACACCATAGAAAACTTCAATAATGTGTCTTGGAAATTTGATACTTTTAGACGTCTTGAGTTTCTGATCTAACCCACCCCCCTCCCGCACAATAAAAGACCCAGGGTCTTCTATTATGTTTAAGCGGAAAAATTTTTAAGGGGGGGGGGGGGGTGTGACGGCAACATTGTCACTCATCTTATTATATTGGTGTTTGTTGTGTATGTTTATTTATTTATTTTGTCTCTATGATTTCATTTTTCTATTGTTATTTTTCCGCGCATTATGATTATTATTATTATTGTCATTATATTGACATTCTTTTTTTTTCTCTTGCTCTCTTCTTGTTGTATTGCTTTATTGGCCTAATAAACTATTGTGGCACCTGGGATATTCAACAGTTGCGTCTCATTCAAGTCTAGTGACGTAACAATTGGCGACCCTGGCAGGAGAGATGTTTTGAGTTCCGTCTCTCGTCGGCCTACTAATAATTCTTCTACACATTCTTATAAATTACATTTGAAAACATCATCAAGTTTTTCAGCGACTCAATGATTATTATCGTCAATTAATTCTTTATCAACAATACAACGTGCATCATTTGATAAAGTTGATAAAACTATTCAACCATCTCTTTATCCAGCCTCATCAATCGATGATTTTCATCGTTCATTTAATTCTTTTACTCATAATGATACCGATATTTTAATGACATGTTCATCTCCCATTGTTGATTCGCCAAAACTCAACAATGAAGGACAAGCCTCGACCAACGAATCTCTTCTTGCCGTTCTTGAAAATATACGAGGAGAAATGCGATCACTCTCTGATCGTATTGCTTGTATTGAACGCTCACGAAATTCGCCAGCATTGACCAATGTCAACTCACGACCAACATCAGCTTATCAAACTTCCCTTGAACATGCACCGACTCATTCGTCGACGGGATTTTCGGTTCCAGCTGAATCTGATCTACATGCATTGGAGCTTGCCTCAGCACGCTCACCAGTTAACAACAACAAATCAACATCTAATTCTATCCAACCATTACCAATGATGTCATCACATATTCCCTCAACTCAATCTTCGATACCTTATGGTTCATCATCAGCTTTTCAACCTATTCAGAAACCGGTGAGTGATAATGCTGTTCATATTTCTTCAGCATCATCATCTGCTAATATTACATCATCAAATGCTATTATGCCGTCTTCACCGTTCTTTGTACCATCAACAACTGTACCGATTACGTCATCATTCACATCACCTGTTTTACCATCTATGGCTACAACATCAACACCTTTTATGATGAACATCAACAATCTCTTGCCTACATTCAAAGGTACGGCAGAAGAACGACCTGTTCAATTCTTAACTGAATTTGAAATTCGTGCTTCTACATTTGTCGGACAACATGATCTTCTACTTTTACATACTGTTCAACAAGTCCTTTCTGATGGTGCTCTTATTTGGTTCGGTCAGCTCCAGCGATCTGCCGAACGTGTTTATAGTTGGGCAGAATTTAAGGTACGCTTTTATGAACGATATCGTACACCTGCCCGCATTCAGCACTTTCGAACGGAACTTCGTCTATTATTTCAAGGTGATACTGAACGTACCTTAGATTACTTTGAACGTTTAAAAAATCTTATGATCGAAATTGATCCTGAATGCAATGATCAATGGTTGAAACATAAATTTATTCAAAAACTTCGCTCCGACATTCGTTCTCATCTTGATCTGGATTTAACCTTTCAACTCGAGAACTTGTTCGTAAAGCACACACCATTGAATCCAACATCGAACAACAAAAGATTGATGAAAAACTCAAACTAGCAGTTCTTCACGAAAAGAAGAATTCGACTAGTTATATTACTAACAGCATTACCTTTAAAAATACTAGTCGTCGACATTCACCAGCATCATCCACTACCTTAAAATCATCTGTTCGACCTACTGATTACAAATTCAATCAGGATCCACACCTTCATTGTGATAATTCACATCATTATAACCCCAAAAACAACAACAATACTATAACTCATTATACACCTACAAATCGTAATAATCAACCTCACAATTCTCTTCTTGATAATACTTATAATCATGCTTCTACTAATGAAAATTATGCTGATCAACGTATTATCAACAATTCTCACAATCGTACTGCTACTATTCAGAATCGAAGTTCCGCCAAGAACCCTAATAAACGTTCCAATCAATCTACAATGAGTCCTTATAATTCTTTTCATCATTCATCTAGCTATTCAAATCATTCAACCTCTTCTCCTACTTCAACACCAACTGCCAACAACTCATCTAACAATTTTAAGAATCGTTGGTGGTGTCCTCATTGCCAACGACATGGACACTCATGGGAACGTTGTCCATCTAATCCTGATAGTATTAATTATCAATCACATTCCTCATCACATTATTCTTCTTCGTCAATACAACATTCACCTTCAACATCATTTAATCCTTCGTTGTCTTCTCACACTGATTCCTGTTCGAAAAACGCTTTGGGAAGATAATGAATGAAGAGGCTTTATCTTCCATCTCCACCACTTCATCCTCTTCACTTACATCACTATCCTTTGACTCATCAACATCTTCTAATTCACATTCATCAATTGATTTCTTGTCATCCACATCGATTCTTCCGTCACCGTCATCTATTAAAACACTTACACCATCTCCTCACACTGATTCTGCAATTACTTCTCAATTTGCACCGCATTCAACAAGCTCAACTGGCTTTATACTTCCATCTGATTCTTCACATTCATCTTGCAATTATCCTCGAGATTGTTATTTAACTGCGAAAGCTAAGATCAATGATATTCCAGGAATTGTTTTACTTGATACCGGCTCGGGCATTACCATCATTAGTTCCAGTCATTTGAAACTTATCAACTCTGACGGTCCTATTGCTCCTTATGATGTACCCGAAATACAAGGCCCTGATGGAAGCTCTATCGGACCGGAAGGTCGTGTCATCGTTCAAATTACTCTTGCTGATCTCATTGTTCAACACCCGGCCATTCTTGCCAGAAGCTTTCGTCATTTTATTCTTCTTGGCAATGACTTTATGAAGTCCATCGGACTTGTTCTTGACTTGCAAGATAACAAGATGTGGCTTCGTACTGATCCGAATCGACGATTCTCAATATCGTATGATCTCACTCACGCCGGCAGGATTGATGTACCAGTGATATCAACTGAACCTCGAGTTATTGCTTCTTATCATGTTGCTTATATTCAAGTAAGCACTCCCTCTTTTCTTTCATCTAACACTTGGGATGCTTCTGTCATCGGTCATCGACCACAGATCGCCACTGCTAACAGCTTAATTCGTTTCCATGATCGAAAATCATTCGTACAAATCATGAACTGTTCTGCTCGACAACAAAAGCTTCATGTTGGCCAACATGTTGCAGTTGCTGACTTGTACATTGATGATACAACGTTCTGTTCTTATTCATCATCTTCGTCTACTTCACCACTGTTATGAGAATCACCGATGCCCAACACAAAAGAAGGATCTTTGATGTCATCATCAGCACAATTACAGGCGACGCCTGATCGAAGACACTCTTTGAAACTCAATTCGGATTCGTTAACTATTTCATCTTCTTGTCTAAATGTAACTTGTTCTGATCAAATGTGTTGTTCGTTTTCTCTATTGTCACCTTTACAGGGCTCTCCTGTTTTCCATGAACACGTACATCCATCATCTTCCATTTCACCTCATTCCTCATTTTCTATTTCAACTCATTCACCATATTCCTCTTCACTTGAGTCATCATCTTCATTTTTGCCTTCTCCTATTTCATCATCTTCTGCTGCGATTTCTGCTATGTCATCATCTACTAATTCGGACTTTCTGTGTGACCTTTCGATCAATGATACTGATCTCACTTCTGAACAAGTTATTCAATAACAATGTCTTCTTCTTCGCTATCGTACTTGTTTTCATGACAAGCCTGGGCGCACATCTCTCACACAACATCATATTGATACTGGTAATACTGAACCAATTAAATTACGCCCTTATCGTGTTTCTCCGGCTCGTCAACGTCTCATTTCTGATCAAATTCAGCACATGTTACGGGACGGTATCATTGAACCAGCTAATGGTCCGTATGCTGCTCCTGTTACTTTGCAACCGAAAAAGGACGGGTCCTTGCGTTTTTGTGTCGACTTTCGTCAACTCAACTCTGCTACTGTTCACGATGTCTATCCTATACCTCGTATTGATGACACTCTCGATCAGTTACGCTCAGCCACATATTTCACTTCTACGGATTTGAAATCTGGCTTTTGGCAGATAGAGCTTGATAAAGAAAGTCGACCAAAAACTGCATTTGTCACGCATGCCGGACTCTATCATTTTACAGTTATGCCGTTTGGATTAACAAACGCGCCCGCGACGTTTCTGCGCCTTATGGACTTGGTCCTAGGTGGTCTGAAATGGTCCTGCGCTCTAGTGTATCTCGACGATATCATCGCCTATTCTTCTACATTTTCGTTGCATCTACAACATCTGGAGTCCGTACTTCAACGGATTCAAGCAAGTGGTCTTACTCTTCATCTTTCCAAGTGCCACTTTTGCAAAACAAAGCTTCGATACCTTGGACATGTCGTTTCACAGACCGGTATCGAACATGATCCCGACAAAATTCCCGCTGTACGTGACTACCCTGTTCCAACTCGACTGAAGGATGTTCGTACATTCCTCGGTCTTACTAGTTATTACCGGCGTTTCATTAAAAATTATGCTACCATTACTGAACCTCTAATCGCATTGACTCGTCATACAGATCACAAATCATTTCAGTGGTCAACTACTTGTCAACAAGCTTTCCACCATCTTCGTCATTTATTAATGGACGCACCTATCATCGCCTATCCTCAATTTGATCAACCATTTATTCTTCAACTTGACGCTTCTGATGTTGGTCTTTCGGCTATTCTAGCTCAAAAACTCGTTGACGACGACGGCGTCCAACCTGAACACGTCATCCGCTACGCTAGTCGCACTCTTACCCCATCTGAACGTCATTTTTCACCAACTGAACGCGAATGTCTCGCTATTGTTTACGGTTGTTCACACTTTCGTCCATATCTTGAAGGTATTCGTTTTACTATTCAAACTGAAAATAAAGCACTCAAATGGTTGCATCAGACCAAAGATCTAAATAGTCGTCTGGCCCGGTGTACTATGCAAATAGCTGCTCACGACGTTGATATTCAACACCGCCCCGGCGCTGATAATGCTAATTGTGATGCTCTTTCACGCGCACCTGTTGACGATTCATCTATTTCTACAAATTTGACCTCTATGTACGATTCGTCTACTTCATCATTTGTTGCTAATCCTGGTTATGCGCTCGTTCATGGCTATTTTCGTCAGTGATCATTGCCACCATCTAAACTCGCTATACCTATTTCACTTCATAATGTCACTATTGCATTATCACCCACATCCTTCGATTCTATTTCTCTTGCTAATATTCATTTTGGTGACAAAGTTCAATTATATGAACACAAACGAGCTGCGCACTGGACAGATACAAACCATCTTCCACTTCTCAATTATTTACAACATCAGCAACTTCCCAATGATGCTGTGCTGCCAAAAATTCGTCAATAAGCCTCTTGCCAGCGACTCATGGATGCGCACTTCATCGTGTTCTTCGTTCATCAAACCCACCTGTTGATGATTCTTCTTCTTCTGTTCCTTCTTCTACGACTCCATTATTTCGTTCTTCTGAACCACTTCGTCCTGTTATAAGGAAATCAAAAATAGTCGATATTCTATCAATTGCTAATGATCATCCTACAGCTGCACATCTTAGGCGCTGTGAGACTCTCTATCGTTTTCCGACTCATTTTTGGGGTGGGTGTGGGTGCGGGTGTCGTTCCTATCTTTATCTCAATTGACATCCACGTCCACACCCATTCCATATACGCACATCCACGCCCGCACTCAACCGACATCACACCATACACGTACCCCGACATACGCATCCACACC